AATGGGGTGAGCGCTCTGGAGGGGGCGTCGCCTCAGCCCAGTAGGACCGTCCCAAGTTCCAAGGAGACTCAGCTGGGCAGACCACTCTCCCAGGCCCCCTGCCTTGCTCACCCCCTCAGCCCGTGGCTTTGGGGGGCGCAGTGGGCAACCCCAGCTTTATGCTCGGGAGGCCACGCGGTCCCAGAATTGAACGCAGGCCTCCCGTGTGCAAAGGATGCAGGCCAGTGTGATGAGCCATCTCTCTGGCCCCCAATTCTTCCTGTCTGCCTTGCTCCCCGCTCCTGCCCCATCCCCGCCTAAACAAAAACGTTCAAGGGTCTGAGGGACGCGGTAGGGCGACTGCCTTTGCAGTAGGCAAACCAGGTTTGACCCTGGCACCCGATTGGTTCCCCGAAGACCACCAGGAGGGATCCCTGAGCACAGAGCCAGGAGTAGGCCCTGAGCACACAAGCCCCAAACCAAAACCAAACCCCCCTCAATCTCCGTATCCTAATTTGCTTCCTCCACGTCAAATCCCATCCATCCCTAGTCCAGCCGCTCTGTGTACGCCTCACCTCTGCCCTCCACCTCTTGTCATGAGAGCCACGTACTACCCAGTAGGTCCCACACCCTATTCCTGGGGTCCCTGTTGCAACTTACACCTCCTTCAACACAAGGAGTGTGTTGAATTATCTCATCCTGGGACCCAGCTGGGCAACGGAAATACACAACTTGCAACCCACAAAAGCAAACCCAGTCACTGTGAGGGCCGAGGAGGTGGCAGCTTTTTATGCTGCAGCACCATGTTAGATCCTTGGAGCACTGCAGGATCTACCCGGTACCCTTCAAGCACCAACTTGTGTAGCAACACACAATGGCAGACACATGCCAACACACACAAGCATGCACTTCTGACCTGAGTGTGCACACCACACACACACACACACACACACACACTAAGAGACCAGAGAGAGTACAGTGGGTGCGATTGCACCCGCTGACCCAGGTTCAAGCCCTAGCATCCCATTTCCCCTGAGCCCGCCAGGAGTGATTCCTGAGTGCAAAGCCCGGAGTACAGACAAGTGTGGCCCAGAAACAACAACAAAATGCGACAGCGAAAGACTATTAAATCCCTAGCAATAAGATTAAAAGAAGCAGGTGTGAGCTGTAGCAATAGTACGGTGGGTAGGGGTTTGCCTTGCTCATGGCTGACTGGGGTTTGATACCCAGCATCCCATATATCCCCCAAGCATAACCAGGAGTAACTTCTGAGTGCAGAGCCAGGAGTAACCCCTGAGCATTACCAATTATAACCCCCCCCCCAAAAAAAAAGCAAGTGAAGGGTCAGAGAGATAGTCCAGGAGTTAAGGCACTTGTCAAGGCAGAGTCTCCTGCCCCCGCGCCTGGCTGTCCTCGTCGGGGCCCCTTGGAGGGGAGCAGGTTGAGTTTCCCTCCCCGCCCGACCAGGGCTCCGGCAGCCGAAGACCTCCAGAACCAGCCACAACCATGCTGAAACCACTCTCCACATGCATGAAGGTACCAGCAGAGGAACAAAGGCATGCGGGTCCCAGGGCTGAGATCTCCAAGCCTGCTAGGATCAGGGCTGAGCATCCTCCACCCAGATCCTCCATCTTCCAGTAGGCAGGGGTTACACCCACTAACTGACCCCCTGGTGCCATGTAATCCCATCAACGGCCAAGAACCAGAGACTACAAAACCCAGCTCCTGGAAGCTGACATCTTATTATCTCATTCTTACTTTGGACAAAATGGCAGGCTACCGAATGTAACCTGCCCACACGGCAGAGTCTGGCAAACTCCCCGTGGCGTACCCAATATGCCAAATACCAGTAACAATGATGGGTCTCATTCTCCTAATCCTGAAAGAGCCTCTAATATGGCACTTTAAAATCTCAGGGCTAGGACGAAGGAGACGTTACTGGTGCCTGCTCGAGGCAATCGACGAACAACACGATGATCATGATCGTGATCGTCGTGATCGCTCTGCACACCACAGACCCTGATTCAATCCCCAGCACCACACACAGTCAGTACACTGAGTATCACCAGGTGTGGTTCAACCATCCTCAGCCATTTTCGAGAGCTGGAGTCTTTCATCCCTTCATCCCTTCGGCTATCCCAATGCCTGCCCATCCACCAAAACCTACCTCAGTCCTCAGGAGAGGCCTGGCATCACGCCCCCTCACCACACTTCCAGTTACAAGCCGTCATTCCCAGCACTTCCCACTCTATACTTCTGGCATGACTACCGTGGCACGACTGCCGTGAGATCTGGGTTTGCCCAAGGCCTGAAGCCCAACTCCAGACCACTGCCACCCAGCCCCCAGGCAGGCCTTTTCTGTACCTCCGACAATCCCCTTTCCACCAGGCAGCTGGATGCAAATTCTCCCAGGTGTTTTCCTAGTTCTAGATTCACAGAGCCCTGGTGCATCCTAGAACTCAGTGGGGAGGCTTGCTCTGGAACTTCTGGGGGACACCCCTCAAAACTTCTACCCCCTTCCCCCAAATAAAAGCAGAGATAGGGCTGGAAAGATAGTACAGTGGGTAGGGTGCTTGCCTGGCATGCAACCCAGCCAGGTTCAATTCCTGGCATCCTGTAGGGTTCCCTCGAACATCTCCAGGAGTAATTTCCTGTCTACAGAGCCAGGAGTAACCCCTGAGCATCAAGGGTGTGTCACTCCCCCCCCCCCATAAAAGGGGAAAAACAAAACAAAACAAAGTACCTGGGGACTTAGAATGCGTGTTAAATGAGCTGAGTGCAGGCTTTGCAGCCAGGAGGTCAGAGTTAGATTTCTGGTACTGCACGTATGGCTCCCCAAACAACATCAGGAGTGACCTGAGCACTCAGCCAAGCCAGTTGCAGCCCCTGAGACTCACCCGCCAGATGTGGCCCAGGCACCTGAAAGTAGATAAGTAAAAATAAGGTAAGGTAAAGGCCCTCCTGTTGATCGTCGATTTGCTCGAGCGGGCCCAGTAACGTCTCCATTGGAGACTTTGTTGTTACTGTGTCTGGCATATCCAATACTCTCGGTAGCTTGCCGGGCTCTCCGAGAGGGGCAGGGGAATCGAACTCGGGTCGGCCATGTTGGCCGCTAAAAATAAGACTGTGGAACTAAAGAGATGGTATAGGAGTACAGGCTCGTCCTCTGCAGGCCTGGCATCGTGGCTTGATCCACAGCACTCCAGGAGTGAGCCCAGAGCACAGAGGGGTGTGGGCAACATTCCCACCCCCCAACAAAATTAAAATAAGAATGGGTCCCTCAGAAGAGAAATCTCTGCATCTGGAATAGTCACAGCTTTTTCAGGCTCTATACTCAGGAATCACTCCTGGTGGGCCCAAGGGGACCATATAGGTGCTGGCAATTGAACCCAGGTTGGCGCAAACAAGGCAAACACCTACCCTCTGTATTATTGCTCCGGATTCTTGCTAAGGAGTCTTGACTGAGGATTGTTCAGCTTTCCTTCACCAGACATCAGGAGAACCTCCACATAAAACCACCTTAAAACTCCATCACTATAGGCTGGAGTGATAGTACAGTGGGTAGGGCATTTGCCTTGCACGCGGCTAACAGGTTCTATTCCCAGCATCCTACATGGTTTCCTGAGCACCGCCAGGAGTAATTCCTGAGTGCAAAGCCAGGAGTAACCCCTGTGCATCGCCAGGTGTGACTCAAAAAGTAAAAATAAAGAAACAAACAAAAAAAACCCCACAAAACTCCATCACTCTCTTGTCCAAAAATCTAGTGTGCCCCTTAGATGAGGCAGTGGTATTGTTTACAATTCATAGCCACTGAGGTAGGAAAAGAGTCAATAATCTTTCTCAGGCGGAAAATAAAAATAATCCTTCAGGGCAAAGAAAGCACCAACAACCCAAGGCCTTTGGGCTACTAGCAAGAGCCTGCAGTTTCCAAGGAGTTCAGCTAAAATTCAAAATGAAACTAGGAGCTGGAGGCATAGTAGAGGAGGTAAAGCACTTGCCATGAATGCAGCCAAACCTGGTTTGATCACTGGCATCCCATAGGCCCCCTGAGCCCTACCAACAGTGATCACTCAGTGGGAGACTCGAATAAGTCCTGAGAACCACTGCGTGTGAGTCAAAAATAACAACATAACAAAACTAAGCCCAGAGTTGTCAGACATGCCTCTCAAACGTCCTTCTGGAGGCTTTGGGGTATCCTGCACACAGCTGACCAGAGTTTGATCCCTGGCAACCTGTAAAATCCCCAGAGATCCTCCCAGGAGTGATCCCTGAGCACAGAGTCCGGAAAAACTCAAATCTGCACCCCAGCCAGAAGCTAGCAAGGAGGATCCAGGCTGACCTCAGGAAACAGGTTGAGTACTAGAGTCATCACTTTACAGCTACAGTGGACCAAGGGGAACGGGGGAAAGAGCCTGGCTGTCGGCTATTAAGCACAGGGACCTCAGAAAACGCAGTAAACTATAAATAAAGGCAGGAAAGTTCCTTGTTCCCCTCCTTCTTCCACGCTTCCGGTCGCGGCACCCTTTACACTCTTCAGGTCCCACTAACTGGTCGGTGCTTCCACCTAGGGGATTTTCTGAACCATGAACGAGAAAGCCAGTACGAGAATCGGGGCTAGAAAGAAATCGCTTCAGCGCCCACCTCTCCCCAAGACCAGCTCAGAATTTCTGTGCATTGGAGGGCAGGACTCCAGAGCTGTCTGCGCGCGCTCGGAGCCCGCCTCTCAGCTTCCCTCGGGGGGCCGCAGGGCCTTCAGGACAAGGATTCCGGGCCCCCCAGATCGCGGCCACGCCCAAAGCCCCGCCTCCTAGGCCACGCCCCTTCCAACGGGAGTGGAACCCGGGACCCCAGCCCCGCCCTCCAGCCGTGGGCGTGGCCCGGCACCTACACCGGGTCCCCGCCCACCTGACGTCAGCGCGGAGCCAAGCAGCAATGATTGGCTAGTCCCGGAAACTCCCTTCCCAATTGGACGGGGCATCCGGCCGGCTCCCCTCCGCGCGCAGCGACCCGGAAGTGGCTCCCAGCCGGGCCTCGTGCCTCGCGGCTCCCGGAGGTTCCCGGCGCTTCCTCGCGCGGCCGCGGCGATGACCAAGATCAAGCCCGACCCGGACGCGCCGGAGACCCCGGTGGAGGCGAACAGCGGGGAGCGCACGTATCACGAGCTGCTGGTGAACCTGAACCCCATCGCGCAGCCCCTCGCCTCGCGGCGCCTCACGCGGAAGCTCTACAAGTGTATCAAGAAAGGTGGCTGGGGCGGGGGGCGGGGGGCGCAGGGCGCGGCGGGCGGCGGGCCTCCCACCCCTTCGCGCTGACCCCTCCGTCCTTGCAGCCGTGAAGCAGAAGCAGATCCGGCGTGGAGTGAAGGAGGTGCAGAAATTTCTCAACAAGGGCGAGAAAGGGTGAGAATCCCCTTTCGCCGCAACCGGCGTTGTTTTGGGGTCGGGGGTGTATTCCCGTGTGTGTTCTGCACTTACTCCTGGTGGTGCCGGCGGGTCCCGTATCACACACGTGAGTGGCAGCGCTCCGGCCCAGCATTTTGCGCTGTTGAGGTCTTGGCGTTAGGGATTACACGGCTGCAGGCGGGAGAAGCGCAGACCCCGCCTCGTGTGCAGAGAGGAGCGAATTCCCTCGGACAGAACCGAGGCCCACGACACCCCGGGGAGAGTGGGTTTCCGCGGTGGGGGTCAGGATGCTTCTGTGCCCGCTCACCCGTTAGGACGAACCCCAGCTGCATGTGCTAGTCTGCTCGTGCATAGGAAGAGGGGGCATCTGTCGTGACTTCAGGCTGTGATACTGGGTTTTTCTGTTTGCCGCTGACGTTTATGGGGCGCGAGCTTGTATATTCATTTTCCATTTCTCCCACTCTGGCCAGATTTAAACTTCTGTTTTGGGGACACACCCAGCGGTGCGCAGGGCTTACTCCTGGCAGGGTTTAGGGAGCCATATGGGATGCCAGGGTTTGAACTGGGTCAGCTGCATACAAGGCACACACCCTTCCCGCTTTGCTACTGCTTGCACCCCCAGACTTAAATTCTTGGCGATCAGGTTTCAAAGTCTCACCTCCTTCCTGTGCAAGTGTCAGACACCCTGCCAGTCTCCAGATAAATGATGCAATGCTGTAGGGAACTCAGGTGCGGGAACGAGACCTGGAAAGACCTGGAGGCCAAGGCTGGGGTGTGGCAGGACCAGGGACCCCTAGCTGGCTGGTAGGGTCCTTCCAGGACAGGAGAGGGTAGTGATAGGCAAACTCCAGGGGAGCTTTGGGGTAAACTTTTATGTTCCCAGAGACTGGAGGGGTCAAGCCAGGGAGACACGTAATTATGTTCGTACCTTCAAATTTGGGGTCTGAGACCAGAGAGTTTAGTTGGTGAAGGCAGTTGCCTTTGTACCTGGTGACCCTGGTTCAATCCATGGCTTCCCCCAAGCCCCATCAGGAGTGATCCCTGAGCACCACTGGGAGTGGCCTAAAAACAAAAATTGGGGGCCCAGATAGCACAGGGGGAGGATATTGAGGTATTGAGGTACCGGCCATGCTTGAGGCCCCCTGATATCATGTGTGATCCCTGAGCAGAGCCAGGAGTAAATTGGGCACCATGGTATGGGTGCTCCCCCCAAAAAATTTGGGGGCCAGGGAGGGGCTCAAAGGGCCAGTGTGCCTGCCTTACGTGTGAGGCTAGCTTTGATCCCCAGCACTCCTGGAAGCAACCATGAGAACCTCCAGGCTTCATCCTGAAAGAGATTTCCTGGCTTCCGGGAAAAGACCCGAGACAGGAGAACAGACTGGCAAACTGAGGCATAGGCTGCTGAGGCCTGAGCAAGGTTCTGCCTTAGCTGTTGATGGAGATGGAGATCACTACAGCACTGGGTCAAGTCACTGAGATGATTGTTTTTATTTGGTGTTGGGCCACACCCTGTGGTGCTCAGGGGGACCCTGCCCGTGGGGTGCCTTGGACTGACCTGGGTTCCACAGGCCTTCCCTGTAGTCCTCTGGCCACCGTGACCTTACAGTGTTCCCGGGGCGACTGCTGGACAGGGCAGCAGTCTAGCGACCTCTGCGCCATGGGCCTCCTGGGGAGAGGACAGCGACTGCTGAGAGCCTTGGTTTCCCTGCCGGCCTGGCATGCCCTAGAGATGGCTGCACCCCTCAAGAGCCTGCATGTTGCTGGCCACTAGCCTGCTCTGTCCTCGTCAGGGTCCAGCAGCCATCCAGACTTCCGGCTCCATCTCTTTTGTTTCCGAGTTGCCCTCCTGCCCCCTGTGATCTGCAGGGGTGGCTCTTGTCTCGGTGCTGTGGGATGAGGCGCAGGGTGAGGGCGCAGCCTCTGACCCATCTCTCTGTCCCTAACGCCTCTTCTTTCCTCCGTGGTGCCACTGGACATCCCCGTGTTCCTGGGCAGCCTTCTCAGGCCGCCTCAGCTGGAGCCTGACGCCACGTCCCACGTGATGGCACTGGCTGGGTTTCTGTGGTGGCTGTACGTTCGCCTGACAGTTGTTGGCACTGACTTGTTGCCCAGATCAGAGGCCCCGCCACTGAGGAAACTCCTCAGCAAACAGATGTGTATATGCAGAGGCTGGGAGACAGATTCCCGCCCAGAAGTGCCACTTAGAAGTGGGAGGGGTGGGAAGGTGGTGGCCAGGTTTGATCCCAAAACTCGTGTCTTGTACCGGCACCACAGGGTCCCCTCCACCCTATGAAAAGGGGTCACCGGGAGTTGCCAGAGAGAGGACCGCGGGTTTGCCTTGCATGTGGCCAACCCAGGTTCCATCCCCATTGGGTCCCTGGAGCCCTCCAGGAGTGATCCCTGAGCATTGCCAAGTAGCACTGTCCTGTAGCACTGAAGCACTGTTCATCGAGTTGCTTAAACAGGCACCAGTAACGTCTCCATTGTGAGACTTGTTACTGTTTTTGGCATATTGAGTACTTCACGGGGAGCTTACCAAGCTTTGCTGTGTGGGCGGGATACTCTCGGTAGCTTGCCGGGCTCTCTGAGAGAGGCGGAGGAATCGAACCTGGGTTGGCCGCATGCAAGGCAAACGCCCTTCCCGCTTGTGCTATTGCTCCAGCCCAAGTATTGCCAAGTATAGCCAAAAAAACAAAAATGAACAGAGTAATAGAATAGAGCCAGAGAGATAGTTGATGGGTAGGGCACTTGCCTTGCATGTGGGCAGCCTTGGTTTGAGCCCAAGCATTCTGTATGGCCTCAGAGCCAGGAATAAGCCCTGTGCCCTCCTGGGTGTGGCCTCTAAGCCAGAAAAAGAAGGGGAGGGGGTGGTAGGCTGCTGTTTTATCCTGCATGAAGCTTGAGACAGTGCTATAGAGGGTCCCTTAAGCAGTGCCAGAGGCGTTATCCTGAACACACCCAGGTGTGCCTCAGGCTCTTCATGTGGCCCCCTTGAGACTGAGCCCCCACTGTCCCCACAGGATCATGGTGCTGGCTGGGGACACGCTGCCCATCGAGGTCTACTGCCACCTGCCGGTCATGTGTGAGGACCGCAACCTGCCCTATGTCTACATCCCCTCCAAGACGGTGAGGGCCGCAGTCCACTGGGCCGGGACATGCTCCACCTGAAGTTCCAAGTTCTGTTTCTGCCACTGCTGGGTGTGGTTCAAACCAGCAACTAGAATACGGAGGGGCGCTTCAGCGGCACCCCACGCAGGGGTCTGGGGTCTCAGACTCAGCCCACAGGCCTGGGAAGTGGCCATAGCCCGCTTCATTGTCTCTCCTAGCTCAGCTGGAGGCCGGGCTTGGGCCCAGGGTCAGCTGCGTGTGGGCTGCTGCCCCCGGGAGGGTTACCAGGCAACATCGCAGGGTCAGGATATATATGGGGGCCTCAGAATGGGGGTTCACACGCACACGCGCGTGCCTACAGCTGTCTCTCCCTCTGCAGGACTTGGGCGCTGCAGCCGGCTCCAAGCGGCCTACGTGCGTGATCATGATCAAGCCCCACGAGGAGTACCAGGAGGCGTATGACGAGTGCCTGGGTGAGGTGCAGGCTCTGCCCGCGGCCCTGTGACCCACCGACTCTGGGGTGTGGGGGAGCACAAGGCCCTCTCCTAGGCCCGGCTGCGCTGGCGGGCTTCAGTGAATGCAGCCCCTGGCTAGGGTGAGGGGAGCAGTAAATGCTAAGAACGGTGCCGAGTCTGGAGGTGTATTTTGGGGGCCACACCCGAAACAAGTGGCCATGCTCGGAGACCACCTCTTCCGTCCACCTGGTGCCAGGGCGGCTGCCCGTGCGTGCCGCTGCCCTGTCTGCAGCCCACCGTTACCTTTCAGCGGGTCCTGCGCAATTCTCAGCCAGGAAAGCCGCAGGCAGGTGGAGGAGGAGGAAGGCCTTTGCTCCACATTAGAGTGGCAGGCAGTTTTGCGTGGAGGGTTTACAGTGGGTGCAGACATCAGCAGGGGCCTGTGGCTGAGCCCACCCTCTGAGGGCCAGGCGACTACCGCCTAGTCTTTGGGGCCAGCTGTTCTGACCAGCACCCCGGGGCCTGAGTGCCAGGTGGCTGCTCCTTTGCGCACAGTCCCAGGGCCAGCAGGAGTCAGAAAATGATGCGTTTCCCATCTGCCGGGTTCTGCTCCATAGGACAGTAGGGACACTTCAGCCTGTGGAGGGTGAGAGCGGGCTCAGGGCTGGGGGCTAGCAGGGGCACCCACTCCCCTGCCTGTCCCAGCTGGGCCTGGGTACACACTTCCCGCCATTGATGAGCTTGTTGAGGGCATCTCGCGAGATCACGTGGCCGCAGATGAGCTTGATGGGAGGGTTGGCGTCAGACGTCTGCTGGCGGAGGATGGGGCAGGCGAACACCGAGTGGTACCAGCACTTCATGCCCAGTTCTATCTCAATCTGGGGAGGTGGGTGGGGGTTGTCGTGAGGGAGGCCCGCCTAGAGGCATGTCCTTCTGAGCTCTTCCTGCCCTGCCCCCCCCCCCCCCCCCCCCCCCCCGCCATCCCCTGCCTGCAGCCTCACCGGCAGCTCGTCCTTATGGCTCCACACGCCTGTGCACTGCCGCTGCTCGATCACCGCCTTGATGTTCATGAGCACCGGCAGTGCCACGCAGCCTGACGCGAAGCTGAGGGCAGAGAGGGAAGGCGCGTGGGGGGAGGCCCCTCACCTCCAGCCGGGGCCCATCTGTCCCTGGGGCCTCCCAGGCTGCTCGGAGAGGGCCCAGAGAACCCAGGGGCTGCTGCTTGCTGCGCCCCACCCCAGCCAGGGCTCACACGGACGGGGGCGTGGCCTCGACACAGCCACCCTGCTCCACGGAGGCTCCTCTGAGTCGGCCCTGAGCACCGTTGGGTGAGACTAAAGCTGCTCCCAACGGTCAGGGCAGTTCATTCCTGCCTGTGTGAGGGACCCCCCCTCCCCCCGCAAACACATGCATGCCTTGGCATGCTCTTGCCCCAGGGTACCTGACACTGAGGGGCGACTCCACGGAGAGCCCCAGCAGGGAGCAGGCGTCCCGGGTGAAGGTGTCGCAGATGTCGGCCCAGTGGCTGCTGTCCAGCAGGTGGCCGTAGGGTGACCTCTCCAGGCCCAGGCGCAGGTACACCAGGCTGCCCATCATCACCTGGATCTCTGCAGGGCGAGGCGCGCACGGAGGGCTTGAGGGGGCTCTCGGGGTGCCCGCCCACCCTGCCCCACCGTGCCCAGGCCGTACCCCGCTGGTGCAGCCGGGCGAAGGGCTGGAAGTGGCGGGCGTAGCTCAGGGCCTCCAGCTGCTTCTCGGGGCCGCCGGCCAGCAGGCGGATGAAGTGCAGGCGGTGCAGCTTGAACTCCAGGGAGCTGTTGAGCTCCAGCAGGCGCTGCCGGTGGGAGACTGCCCACCTGCGGAGAGCGGGACCCGCCAGCCGAGCTGATGAGCTGTGCTGGCGCGAAGCCCCGTCCCTCTCTGGGCCACCCCCGCCCCGCTCAGACCAACTCACTCCAGGGCTGGCCCCAGGTCCTGCTGGTGCAGCGCCTCCAGGATCCGGTTCAGCTCCAAGAAGGGCTGCTTGAAGCCCAGGTCCACATTCAGCGTGGACTCCTGTGGGAGGCATGGCACCTGCTTAGGCCTTTTCATCAGAGGAGTCGAGGCCACCCCAGTGCTCCGAGGTTACCCCTGGCTCAAGGCTTGTAGTGAGCTGTGGTGCTGGGGATGAAACTGGTCTTGGGCTGGGGCGATAGCACAGTGGGTAGGGCGTTTGCCTTGCACACGGCTGACCCGGGTTTGATTCCCAGCATCCCATATGATCCCCCAAGCACTGCCAGGAGTAACCCCTCCCTGAGCATTGCCAGGTGTGACCCAAAGAGAAAATAAAGGACAAACAAACAAAAAGAAACTGGGGCTGGGGCACCCCTGTGCACTCTCTGACCTTCCAGCCCTGTGCTTGGTTCTGAGTCCCACCCAGCTGTGCTCAGGGGACTCTATGGGATGCTGGGGATGAACCCTGGGTTGGCCAAGTACAGGGCGACTCCCTCCCCACGTCCCATCGCAGCGGCACCCCACTCCTGCTTCCTTGCCTTCACTTTCACTACCCAGAGGGCTCAACCCAAAAAGGATGAGATGTCATTTCCCTGGTCACACCCTCCTCCTGCAGTATGGACTGAACTCAGAGTCCCTGCAAGGACAGTGGCTACCAGGGGCTGGGGGTGGAGCCTGGTGCCTGGGTAAGGCCCCTGGTCTGATCTCTGGAGGTGGGTGCTGGGCAGGGATGCAACATGTGACTGCTGGAGCTACTCACTCCAGAGGCCAGGACCATGCCTGGGAATGCCCCCCCCCCCCCAACCACCCCCAGGAGAGTCTCCTGACCACTACATGGGGAGCCGCCCCAACACCTCCAGATGTGGAGTGAAAACAAAAAAGCCACAGGGTCAGAGATGGGACAGTGAGGAAAGCACTTGCCCTGCTTGCAGCCGAGCCGGGTTTGATCCCAGCATCCCATAGGGTCCTGTGAGCACGGCCAGGAGGGATTCACGAGGGACCCTCACCCCACCGTGCCCCCGCTCACCCTGTCGATGGCCTTGCCCACTCCTGGGGCTGGCCTGTGCCTCTGTTCCTGGGTGTCTGAAAAGGGCCCAGCTTGGGTCCCAGTCTCTACTGGCCCCCAAATCACAACAGAAAATTCAGCGACATGTTGTCACGCTTCCCCAGGCAGGGGACAGGCTGCTTTTGGCAAGTCCAGGGGGGAGAAAATGGTGTGGGGAGGTACCCTGGCCACCTCCAGCTTTGTCCTGGGCCCTGTCTGGTGGAGCCTTGGAGCACTGAGCCAGGAGCACCACTGGGTATGGCCCTACTCCCTCGGGGTCAGTGCGGGAGTGCCACTCCCACCTGGCACAGCTCCTCGGCCACTCCCAGCATGCCCTGCTGGTACAGGTGCTCCACAATGGCCGTCTGCAGGACCTGCTGCTGCTGCTGCTCCCGGGAGTCCCACACAGCGTCAGACACGACACCGCAGATCTCAGAGTCGAAATTCTGCCGGGCCGGGAGGGGAGACATGTCTGGTGACCCAGCGAGGGCCGGGAGGACCCTCACCCCCACCGTGCCCCTGCTCACCCTGTCGATGGCCTTGCCCACGCGGGACACACTGCTGTGGATGTCCTTGTGGTCCGAGGCCAGCTGCTGCACTGTGTCCTTGATCTTCTGGCAGCACTGCGACATCACCAGGGAGAGGGTGGCCGAGAGGGGCATCCCCTGCAGGGCTACAGGGACGTGCAGCTGCGGCCAAGGCTCAGAGAAACCCCACTCCTTGGCCAGTCCCACAACATCTGCTGTTTTTTTTTTTGGGGGGGGGGAGTGGGCGCCCCTCAGTGGTGCTCACCATGATGAGGGAACCAGGACTTACACCAGCAAGACCGCGGCCAGGCCCACTGGCTGGAGAGTACAGGGGCGCAGGTTCTGGCTTTGCACACAGGGACCCCAGTTTTATGCAGCGGCATCATGAAGAATTAGCAGGAATGAACCCTGAGCACCGCCAGAGGAGCATCCATGTGCTCCCCCCCTCCCCCGAAACAAAAATCTAGGAAATAAATTTTCCAAAAGGCCAGAGGACATGCGTCAGTGGCAGGGGAGGCTGTCCAGCACACACACCACCCGAGGGCCACCCCAAGCATCTAGGGCCGAAGCTAAACGAAGGAGTTGGAGAGAAAGGGCAGCGTTTGTCTGTCTGGGGCTCGATGCCCATCACCCTCTGACCACCATGCAGAGTGATCCCTGGGCACAGAGCCAGGAGCCAACTCTGAGCACTGCCAGGTACAGCCCCAAACCAAATGAGAGCCAAGAAAAAAGGCCACAGGCACGTTAGCCTCCACTTGAGGTGGCCTGCAGACAGTCCCAAGGTGCTCACCGTCTGTGCCGCTGAAACCCTGGGGAGGAGCCCCTGGGAGGCTGCCCCCGACTCCCGCCCTCGCCCCCCAGTCTCAGCTGGACCCCCAGCCGCACCCCCAGGTTCCCCGCATGGCACCTGCCCCCGCCAGCTCTGCCCGTAGCCGGCTCGCATGCTGCAGCAGCTCCTCCAGGCTCTGCTCGCAGTGCTGCCCATAGGTCAGAAACCTCTGCAGGACCTTGTCCACCTCACGCTCCACACTGGCGCACTGCTCCATGGCTGCCTCCACCTGGAGTGGGGTAGACTAAGTCAGGAGTCCAGGAGACCAGCTGCAGAGGGCTCCTCGGACCCTCTGTCCCCTTACTGCATCACCTGCCTGGGAGCTGACCACTGGATCCCCTACCGCCGGACCCCCGGGAGGATGCAGGGGTCTCTGGGGGACAGACTGGCTCTGCACAACCCGCTTGGGCGTGGTGACCCCAGCTCAGGGGGTTCTGTGCAGCGCCACTCTGCCCTCCAGTGCTCTGAGTCTCTGGGGCAAGCAAGGCTCTCCCCGCCAGCCCCACTGGTTTTGGGGACATGCGCAGAGATGCTCAGCAGTTACTCCTGGCTGTGTTCGGGCAGGGCTTGAAGACCGTGTGAGATGCCAGGGATTGGACCCTGGCTGGCGGGGTCATGCCAGCTCATGCTCAGCCTGGCTCCAGGGGAGGCCAGCAGTCAGGGTGCAGCCTGACCTGCCATCACAGTAGACCCTCCGCTCGGTGTGGGGAGTCTCCCCATCCCAAGCCCCCCTCCGCTTAGGTGTTGACAGTAAGACGGACGCCACGTGCCACCCAGTCCCCCAGATTCCTCCCACAGGCACCTTCTCTGCCGCTAGGGATCCAAGGGCTGTCTCATGGGGGCTTAGGGGGCCTGGCCCACCCTCCTGCTCCCCCCACAGCCCTGCGGGGCGCCTGGTAAGCCCAGTCCCTCCATGCAACACAGCTGCCGGCACCAGGCTGTCCACAACACTTCTTTTGCGGGCCGACTGCGCTCCTGGCCTGCCTGCACCCAGCTCTGCCCCCCCCATCCAGTGCCCCCCTCTATTTCAGTGTGATCGGCCACAAAACCCAAGGACTGGCATCAAAGTGTGGGTGGCAAGGCGGGCAGGGCACCATGGGCTGGATTTGGGGGAGCCGCGGGCTGTAAATGGGGCTGGAAGTGAGAGGGTCCCTCCAACAGCCACACTGGGGACACGTCCACTCTTCTGAAAGCAGGGGACCCTAAGGGGACCTGGCCTGCACTCAGGACACTCCCAGCTTCTGGGGCCCAGGCCCTGCCCCACCAAGCCCCCCTGAAACGCCTCCTGAGGGCCGGTGCCGTTCACAAGTGGGCAAGTGGCTGTGGGTGCCTGCAAACAGATCCCATAGCACTGCTGAGGCCGCCTGAGGATGAGGCAACCCCACGCTCACTCGTGCCCAGTCCTGCCCCCCGCCCCCGGCTGGGACCACAAACACAAGAGCCCCCTTACAAGAACTGCATTCCAGTTGGTCTCCAGAGACCCAGCCACTGCAAGGTGCCCCTGCCAAGCATCCGGGAGTGCTGGCCTGACTTCCCTTCTAGGGAGTTCTTTATACTCCAGCCACAGGGCCAGGAAAGGCAGCACCCCAGGGTGCAGCTACTACTTCTCTCCGCTGTTTTTTTTCCCTTCTTGGGTCACATCCAGTGATGTTCAGGGGGTTACTACTGTCTCTGCGGGAATCACTCCTGGCTGTGCTCAGGGGACCATCAGGGATGCCCAGATCAAACCCAGGTCAGCTGGATGCAAAGCAAACGCCCTCCCCACTGTACTGTCGCTCGCACCCCTCTCTGCTGGTTTTGACTCTGGGCCACACTCAGCGGTGCTCAGAAGCAACTCAGCAGTGCTTGGGAGGACCATGTGGTGCTGGGGTGGAACCGGGGCTGGCTACATGCAAGGTGGACCAGCCCTAACCCCAGTCTCTCTGGATCTGAAGTTCTTGCTTTTCTGGCGGGCCTCATTGGTCTTCGGGCTGTGCCCTCCTGGTAGGGCTCAGGGGACCATATGGGGGGCCGGGAACCAAACCCAGGTTGGCCATGTGCAAGGCCAGTGCCTTCACCGCTTACTCTCTCCCTCTCGATGGCCAAGAGCAGGGTATGAAGCAAAGCCCAGTCAGACTTGATCCCCGACAAGAGGGGAGCCTGAAGGAAGTTGGCCAAGAGTCTCTAGGGACCAGGATGGAATGAGCCTGACACGTGGGAGCCCGGGTTCCGTGCCTGGCACACCACAAGCGAAGCATCTGGGAACCAGGCACTAGTGTCCCCAGGGAAGCACAGCTTGCACGCGTGGGAAGTCTGGTTCCGTCTGGCAGCACATGCTCCTCGAGCACAGAGCAGGGAGCACCCCACGCTGGGCCTCCCGAAGGAAGAAGGCAGGTGACAAGGGACTGCCCGAGACTGCAGCTGGAGCCTGCAGGTCGCCCCAGAAGGCTGAGGAAGGCTTTTCATCCACTTCCAGCTGGTCTCCAGGGGCCTCATCAGCCATGAAGCAAAAGATCAAGAGCAGAATGTGGGCTGGGGGGGGGGAGCGGGGGTTCATCTATGGGAACACGGGGAGCTTTTAGAAACCCACGAGAACAAAAGTCACCTCCCAAATGTGGCTCTGAGGGGGCGGAAGGGCAGGAAGAAACAAAGTGTGAGCAAATCCCAGGACTGCAGATGCAGATGCCTGCAGCAAACGAGGACGAGATGCAGTGTGCGGCACGCACGTGCATGTAGAGATGCAGAACACACACACATGCAGGGACAGAAATGCAGAACGCACACATGCAAGCAGGGGCAGAGCTGTAGAACACACACATGCACGCACGCAGGGAGGGAGCTGCAGAACACACGCAGGCAGCCACACAAATGCTAGGGGTTTCCTTTGGTAGAAGGAGCAAGAAAACAGAAAAAGGGGAAAAGACAAGCGAATGCACAGGAGGAAAGGGCCCAGTGGAAGCCAACTCAGTGGGCCCTGAACTGAAAGGCAGGACCATCTCAATAAAGGCAGAAAAGGGGCTGGAGTGATAGCACAGTGGGTAGGGCGTTTGCCTTGCACGCAGCTGACCCGGGTTCGATTCCCAGCATCCCATATGGTCCCCTGAGCACCGCCAGGGTAATTCCTGAGTGCAGAGCCAAGAGTAACCCCTGTGCATTGCCAAGTGTGACCCAACAAGCAAATAAATAAATAAATAAATAAATAAATGGGGCAGGAGTGATAGCACAGCAGGTAGGTCGCTTGCCTTGCCTGTGGCCGACCTGGGTTCGATTCCCAGCATCCCATATGGTCCCCTGAGTACTGCCAGGAGTAATTCCTGAGTGCAGAGCCAGGAGTAACCCCTGACCATCGCTGGGTGTGACCCAAAAAGCAAAAAAAAAAAAAAATGGAGCTGGTCACCCCCATTCCTGCAAGCGCGCACACACACATACACACACCCCAAAACAAAAACCCAAAAAGATAAAATAGGGTCGGGAGCCACCTCAAAGGGCTGAAGCACGGGCTTTGCATGTGGGAGGCCTGAATTCCATCCACAAGACCACAGTTCTCAGCCCCCCACCAAGAACAGACAAACCCACAAACACAGAGGGTCGGGGAGACGGGGCAGGGGAAAGGCTGTGCTGTGTGTGTGTCCAACGCCAGTTCCATCCTGGGCACTCATGGTTCCGATTCCCACATCGAGTGACCCTCAAACACAGAGTCAGGAATACTTCCCCTTACAAACCCCAAAAGCCCCCTCAAGCTCCCTGGCGCTGCTCTCCACGGAGAGGCCAGGATACAGTGTGATCAGCTCCACAAGAAAAAGCCCCTTCTGCCTCTTTGCTCCACAAGCCTATTAGGAGGCAGAGACTCTGGGGCCTGCTCAGGAAACATCCAAGGAGTTGCTTAGGAAGGGTCTGCATCCCTAAGCATCGCAGTACGGGGCCTGGTGCATGTGGTGGAGAGCACAGAGGGGGGCAGGAGTCACGCAGGAGCAGGGACATCTCCAACGCAGAGAGGGACCTCCCCACTCTTCCGCAGCTGGAGACAAGGGGGCTCAACCCAGGAGAGAGAGGCGTTATAGAAAGCCTTCAGAGCGCTCAAGGTGTGGAGGGCAGGCTGTCCGCAGGGGCCCAAGCTCCATCCAAAGCACCTCTGGCCCAAGCCCCCAGCACACCATGGGGTGTCTCCTAAAGAGGAAAAGGAAAGTCCCCTTCATCTGTCACCGCCTCCATCCCTCCGCCGCACTCCTGCTGGTTTCCGCTAGGACCAGAGATGAGATTCACGTATAGGGCCGGCAATCTCCCGTGGGGTGACATGTCCAACCCTGCCTCCTTGGTCACTCGGCGCTCCCGGGAAGTCGTCGTGCAAGTCCGGCCCCCAGCGCATCCCCAAGGCCCACGCACACCACCCCCACCGTCCCGCGCTCGCCGGGTCTCTGAGCCTTCGCCGCGACCGTTCCTTGCATCAGAAACGCAGTTCCGCCGGCTAACTGCGGTCCACAGGCGGCCGGTCCAGCGCCCGTCCCCCGGGCACACCCCCTGCCCCGGGCCCCCGCGGCACACCCCGGGTGCACCCAGCAGTCGCGCTTCCCCAACCAGCCCGAGGGGGACAAGCCCACCCGCGCCCCGCCCGGCCCCCGAGTCCCGCCCGCTCCCGGCGGGCAGCGGCCACGCCCCTCCCGGAGTCCCCGCGCCGGCCCCGGGAGAGCGTCAGCCCCGGCCGACCCCCCGGCCGACCCCCAGCCCGGACCCGCCGGCTCTCACCTCCGCCCGCACCCGGGCCCCGACTTCCGGCGCCGCGACCTGGGGACCGGAAGCGACGGCGGTTGCGGGCTCACCCATCGGCGGCGGTAGGGCAAGACCACCCCCCCCGCGCCCGGAGTGGACTCGTCCGGATGGGAAGCCCCGCCCCTCAGTGGGAGGAGCCTGAGCAAAGCCGGGGCCGGGGGTGGAGCCGGCCGCTTGGCCCCGCCCCGCCGGCCGCCGAGGGGAAGCGACCCCACCCACTCGGGCCGGCGGAAGCGGCCGCGGGCGGGCGCGCCCCTCTGCCCTGTCCGGCCCGCGCTCCGGAGTCCCGATCCCGGTAATGCCGGTGCCTCCCCGCCCTGCCGGGCCGGGACAATCTCCAGCGCACCTTCCTGCAAAGCCCTCACTCTCGAGACTCCCAAGGTCCTCATTCTCGAGACCCCCACAGTCCTCATTCTCGGCGCCAGCCTCGCTGGCTCCTAAGGCCATCGCGGGTCCAGGTTGATGGATGAAATTCTGCA